ATGATATCTTTTAAATAAAGGTTATTTATTGATTAATGATTTATATTCTACAGAACTTATTGTTTTATGAAATAAAAAGGTTAACCCCATGTATATATATATATATATTTTTTTTTAATATAAGAGCTTCATCAATAATCATTTATCACAATTAATAAGAATCAAGATATTGATGAAATAATAATTGCGATGGTAATTAAACAAAAATTTGCATTGTTCCTTCAGCAAAATTATGCAAAATTATCGAAGTAATCATTGAGTTTAGTCCTCACTACATTCGCAGTTGCAAGCGCAAATCTTGCTATTAAACGGGCGGGTCGATGAGATTACTAATCTGAAAGATTACTGGGAACGGCACTCGTTGCGGTAAAAGCAGATGTATATTCGCACCGCATAACTGCACGTAATATGCACGTATAATGTGAGATGTGTTATCTCGCATGAACGTGCTGTGAGATTGCACGCAGAATACGCACGTGAACACGCTCGAGTGACGGCGTTTGCATTCTGGCATTCTCACGTTGGTCATCGCCACGGAAAAGCATCGTAAATGCCATTGTTCGATTTCCTACGCGTGAATTTTCCCGAGCTGCTCGCACATTCCGTGAATGTAGAAGTCACAAACGTGCGCAGCGCGAGATTCTAATTCATAGAGGAAAACGATGTTCTGCTCAATTATAATAACGAGATAAAAGATTCAAAAATTAATTTTTCTATTTTGGAGATTACGTACTTAAATTTCAAAGATAATTTCTTTAATGAATAATAATAAGAGACCGCTACATAAATAAATCAAATAAAGAAGCGCTAAATACGGTCGAGACTAAATCTTAGTGCTTAATAATATTTTTATAAATTTTTACATTTTTTAATTACAAAATATATAAATTACGCCGATTACTTTTGGATTTAAAATGCAATTACAAAAATGGAAGTTGTAATTAATTACAAATTAATCGTTAAGTTTTAATAATGATGTTAATAAGCATCTTTATATTGCAAACAACTTATTGCAAAAAATATCACTTCATGATTTAAATCTGATTGAAGTCTTTCCGACTGTTTTAAGATGTTATTATAACATCATTAAACTGACGATCAATTTACTTTATGATATTACTATATTTCAGCTTTAGTTTGCGATTACGTTTCAAGCCTGACATAATCGGCCGCGGCGTGCAGTTTATATAACTAAAAGATATATTTAAAAATTACATAGAAATATTATTAAGCACCAAGCTTCAGCTTCAACCGTATTTAGCGCTTTTCTACTTATTTGATTTCTTTAATGAGATAGCAATACCTTCTGAAGCTAAGAGGAAAGTCTTGCGGTTTCCTAAACAACTTCCTATTTTTAAAAATTGCAACATTGAAATAAATTGAAATTTGCTTTTAACTGCGCGATGAAAATTGCTTTTTACTCACAATGTGCAATCAGATACGAAACATCCTGACTCCTTTGGCGATCGTTCGAAATACTTGGCATAGATTATCTGGACGACGTCTACGTGTGCTTACTGATCATTCGCACGAAAAGAGACGAATGTGAAAGTGAAATTGGGAAATGATGTACAAATTTTATTCTCGTATGCCATAGGCGCACGTTGAATAAATAACGCGACAGGCGTTATGTATACCATGCGCTGCTGTTACGAATTACGTTTTACCTGACCGCAAGCCTTCCTGACAGACCCACGTCGATACGATCACATGCAGGCGACACAATCGGTGTCGCTTTTAATTAACACTCCGCTCACGCATTTATTTGATTATGCTCGATGTGATGCTCGTTCGCGATCAGTCACCGCAATATTCGTGTCGTTCACTTGCCCTTATCTACTCCTCAAAATATCGCGAGTATATGTAAAAAAAAGGAATGTTTTCACAGTAAAAGTACTTTCTACAAGAATACTTTCTTTATTTGAATGTATGATATGAAAGCGACTATACGTCACTAAGCATAATCATTTACTTAATGGTATGACGATATTTTTTTTGTAAAATATAATAGATATTTTTTTCAAAATAAATTTATTCGTTAAAAACGTTGAGTATAGGAAAAAATGCAGATCTGCTACTAAAGTAAATTTTGTTCACTAATTAAAAAAAAATTATTCTTAGTAAATGTAATTTATTGTTCAAATTGTGCAAACTTTGTAGATGGAATAAAAATTAATTTATGGATATAGGAGAGAGAGAGAGAGAGAGAGAGAGAGAGAGAGAGAGAGAGAGAGAGAGAGAGACTGGAAAAGTTCAAAGGATTTAAATTAATTTAACTTTTTGAATTTTTTATTTTGGAATTGGATTTCAATTAACAAAAATTTTATTTTATCTATCATAAAACGACGATTTCTCACAAGACTTTCATTGAAGAAAAATTAACTTCTCACAAAACTCGTGGAATGTAGACATTCCATACATGGACTAATATCTCGATCGTTAAGTATCTACTTGTTTATTAAACGGGATCTACTTGTTTATTGCTGTCGTAAATTTTTCTTGTTTTTTTATTCACGTTTAGATTTTATGAACTCGCGAAATGTATTAGAGACTGTTCTTAAAATAGTTTAACTCTGCTTAGTGATTTATGTTAATTTTGTCATTAACAATTTCTTCTTTCTAGCACGTGTTTTACTTAAATTCACGGACAGAGAACTGCGTGGTAATCAAGGGTTAAATAGAAACGATAAAGCCTTAGCCTCGGTTTGTCTCTCTAAAGTATTATATGTAAGACTGCGGATCGTTAACAAAAACGTGCGATACGTTTTATTAGGTTTACTGAAAATTTCTGCATCATGTGTGCGATGATGTAAAAGAGTTCGAAGGTTGTACATCAATTCATCATAACATCAGCTTCGCTGGACAATCGCGCAGATTCATACACTGAGAAAAAAAATTGTTAACTGAACTAAATGCGTTTATTTATGGTTATGATTTGTTTATTAGTCGAAATATTAATGTATTTGAGTCAAATACACATTTGATTCACTTACTTCGACATGACATATCTTTGAATTAACAAATATTTGCTTAACATGCCGTGACCGCCGTATTTAGTTGAGAGTCAACTAATATTTTTTTAAATCAACTATTTTTTTTCTCAGTGTAGGAAAAAGAATTGCCCTTGATTATATCCCAAGGAATATGATCTATTGTAATTGAATGCTGAGATAGAAGAACTGGACAAACAGGATCGAACCCCTTTTAAAGTGCGTCTTCTCGAAGCAGCCACTTCTGTACTGACTAAGGTCCGTACCTATATTGTACCAATATCAATGTAAATTAATTTTAATTCTCAGTTTAATTTACTCTTTTTTTAATTCTTAGAACTAGAAGATAAAAGCAAATTAAACTAAGATTACAGTTACATAAGAGATTAAGTATTCTGCATTGATAGAGAAATGGATATAAAGCAAATTATTAAACGATCAATCGCGATATAAGCTTTATTCTAAAGTACTTAGTCTTCAACAATTTCAAGAATCATCTGCGATATTTTCTGAATAATCGCAAATTGATAAGTTTTGATAAATTTTTGTAACACATCTGAGTCATCTCACTTTTTAAAATTACATACAATTTGTTCTGCAAAGATTGTGCCGCGATATATTTTTCAATTAATTAATTAAAATCTTGGGACAGGAGGGATATTTTTCCGCTACGAAAAGCGATTACTTTGGCGCGGCGTGGCTCACGCAGGAATGTCGACACGGCGCCGAATAAAATTACGAGGTGCTTTTTTGCACTTTCTGCATACCTGTGTCGCGTCGGCGTGAGTTCGTAGATCGCATAAATACTGACATAAAATAATATATAAAGATGATGTATACTCAATAAGCATAATTATGACATTAACGAATCCTCACCTTGGATCTCATTCATTTCACTCCACCGCGGGAACCGTAAACTTTCTTTAACTTCGCTGTGGATCACACGCAGGAATTTCGGCGTGGCGCCGAATAAAATTAAGGAGCGCTTTTTTGCGTTCTTTTACATCCTTGATCGTGTCAGGGATTTCCTAAAGTGTAAATATTGCTATGTAAAATAATATATACCTACGCGATTTCGCATTAAGCTCCGCAAAACTCATTTAAATATTAATACAATATATTCGTCTAAACTAACGTTAGTCTTTTTAAAATACATATTTCTTTCTTCTCGTGCCATATATATATATATTTTTTTTTACTTCTAAAAGGACTTTGAACTCCTCAATTGAAATACCAGTCAGGATGTCATTTGAAATCTTTAACTTGACAAACGCTTTTAAACTTTTAAGTAATACTGCTTGCGCTGTATCAGTTTTTTTTTTACAGACATTTTTCAATGTTATTCTAATCTCTATGCATATAAAAACTTCGCGCAGCAATAAAAAATTAATTGTGTATTTCGTCGAATTTTCTTCTAGCAATGTCAGAAAAAATACATATCTACGGATCGTTAGATTTTGCAAAGCAGCGTATCTAATAGATAAATTACGGCACCAATAAATCTCCATCTTATCCCATCAACCTACGTCGCGAAGGAGAATCTCAAGCTTTCTTCAATTTAGTGCGCTTGTCTTGCGCAGGAATTTCGGCGCGTCGAATGAAATTAAGGAATGCCTTCTTTTTTTTTTTTTTCGCACTCTTCGCATATTTGCGTCGCGTCAGCGTGATTTCCTAGAGCGCGTAAATACGTTCCGGATCCCGTGGACTCTGCTCCTTGTACTGACGTATGTACGAAATCCGGATAGATGGACAAAGTGGGGGCACTCGGAGGCGCGTGGTCGCCACTGGATGTGCGAGGCAACATAAAACGAAATGGCAAACGAGATAGAGACTCAGTATACACGAGACGATCGATCGCAGCACGATCCTGTGACGAGAACGAGATTGAGCTTGTTATTGATTGTTTATCGTGACGGCGACAATTGTACCTGTAATCGCACGTGCCGGCGTGAAGCGAGTGTCGCGACGTGAGGAACGGACGGAAAGCGAAAAGGGAGGAGAACAAGCATAATGATGATCAGCGGGATTTCCATCGCGAAGATCGCTATTTGCATTCTACTAGGATGCTGCGTGATGATGCGAGTCACCGGCTCGGCAATACCGATGTGGGAATTTCTTTCGAGAGATGAGAAAGTGAGTACGGATTATTTCTTTGTCAATTCTGCTAATTATGCTGATACTATTAGTTTGACATAAGAGATTTATCGGTTTTTAAATTCTGCTTTAAGTGAAGCTACTGAGCATTTCAAAGCACTCATGCTTTAAGTGAAGCTACTGAGTACTTTAAAGCATTGCTTTAAGTGAAGTCACTGATTTTGTTAAAGTTATTTAATTTTTTAATTACTTTAAATAGAGAACTATATCTAATTATTTTAAAATATTCAAAACTTTCAAGTAAGAGTCCGCAAATCTTTTCAAACAAGAAAATCTTATTAGAATGCATTGACGATACTGACTGATTTTAACTGATGAACATTGCTCCGAAATTGTACAATTTTGTTTTTATTTTTATATGACAAATATGAAAAATAATTTATATTAATTTAATATAATTTGTTTAATAAGTAAGTGTATACTCGTATAATATAAGTGAACACAAACTATTTCAAATTTATTAATTATTTATAGATTTTGTGAATGTAGAAATATAAAGAGTACACAGAGATGCGTGAAAAAAGATATAAGAAAGAAAACACTTATAATTATATAGTGTGTAAAAATTACTAATACATTCTGTTTTCTTGAGAATAAAATTTTACATAAAAAAGAAAGATATTACCGCTGTTCTCGTCAGATTTATGTATTGTATTCTCATTTGTACTAGTATAGCAAAAAAAAAACTCAGTTACGACGTCTCTTTTCTTTGCAAATTATTTAAAAAATAAAGATAAGCGTAAAAATACTTATTTTTCGCCGTAACTTTATTTCCATCCATCCAACTTTTATCTCCAAAATTGTAGCCGCTAAATCTCTTTCACTTATAGTTTCGCATGAAATCACGAATGAGAGATGTTGCAAACATCTCTCATTCGTGATAACAACTATTCAGTGGACTTTCACCAAACAATCGAGTGTAAGTGTGTTGCATCTGAATCACATGTTGGGCGTATTCGGTGTTGCTGCGATTGCAATTGTATTGTACTTGCACGAATTTCTCAGTGACGAGTTAATAAGCTTGGATATCTATTTATAAATTTAACATGAGTTCGATGAACATCTTAGAATTTCATGTATTCGTTGAAAACATTTATAATAATTTGATTAGGATTTTTTTAAAAAGGTGACTGATTTTATTACTTTGTACTTTTTTGTATTTTATTGCTTACTCTCTTACACAAGGAATAATCAAGATTGATTTGTCTGAGTTTATTTTAATATAAATATATATGTACTCTCTCTCTCTCTCTCTCTCTCTCTCTCTCTCGATTATTTAAAATTTTTGATATCCCAAAATTTGACGAAACGGTATATTGGAATAATTTATTTAACTTTTTTTAAGTTTATTCTATTCTCATTTTTCTCATGTGTTATAAATTATTTACGAATTTGTGAATGACAATTTTTACACTTTTTACACTTAATGGTGATATTTTATTTAAAAGTTTATAAGTTTTGATTGTTTTAAACATTTTAAAAAATAAATATTATAATATTGTTTAGTCTATTAGATATGATATATATATAAAATAAAATTAATGATTTCAGATTTTTAAACAAAAAGTAATTCTTAATTTTCAAAGAGAAAAAGAGAAATTTTTTTTAACAGGAGTAAGTTATTTTAATTGAAATAATTGAATTAAGAAACAATATTAAATATTAAAGGACCGTTAATGTAACGATATAACTAATACGAATACGAAGCCTATTATATAGTCTAGCTGGATCTTAGTTGCTTATATATAATTAAGGATACGTAATGTTGTGATTCCGCTATATCCCGAGTTTCTTACTAAGCAGTAACTCCTTTATCTTACATTTATTTATGATTCTAAAAATGATAAATACATTCATTTGTTTTGACATTTTTTATTAACAGAGTTCTCGAAATAAGCGTTATGCGTGTATTTTGATTTTATCTTATATAATCTCATATTATAAGAATGATAAATAAATCATAATAAAAATTATAATAAATAAGCTTTTTAAGTAGTTTATAAATAGAACTGAGATATTTTATTATGTATTTTAATATTATATATTTTAATTTTAATATCCGACAAAATATAAAGAAATATATTTTCCAAATATAATAAACGATTGAAGATTTTATCCATGGATGATTACTTCTGGCTTTATATTCGCGACATATCTCCGGTTCTATAAAAGCGCCTCGTTTACAATTTATATAGAAATTTAATGTAATGCTCAATATTTAAATCTGTTATCATTTCATTGTCGAAGATAACCAAAATTGTCATCAAAACGTCTGTAATTGTTAATTATTAACACAAGTTTTACATACTGTATCGATTTATATTGGTTTGCATTTTTTATTTATTTTTCTTTCTCTGAAGCCTTATTATTAGAAATGTATTATTTTAATTGATAAAAGAAGAGAAAAAAAGAGAAAGAGAGAGAGAGAGAGAGAGAGAGAGAGAGAGAGAGAGAGAGAGATAGTTATTTTAAAATTATGTAATTTGTTTTAACTTTCTTCGACAAATACCGAACCACTACAACAATCTAATATTTGTTTGTAACTATCATCCGACAATGCGAGTAGTCTCGTGCGAATAACACGTTCGGTGGAGTTGTGGAAATCAGGAGCTTCGTTTTAATCTCGAACTACTCGATGTTATCAATCAATAGCCGGATGGTTGCGATTTTACACTCGGATCGTATTCTTTATCTCAAAGCCCTGTTTCCCACGAAATGTCTTTAGTGCAGCATTAACTAACGACGGACAATTGTAAAAATCTAAAGATTATCGCGATTATGACGATCTGCTACCGGGAAAATAATTACACTGACTGTTAATCGTCACCATGACACGATAATGGCATGGATTCTCATCTCACAATGCAATGAATGTATAGGAGGTCATATATCAATTAAAATTCTATATATATCAGAACTTAATATTTATGATTGATATTTATTTCTAATGTTTACTGAACTATCGAATTGGAAAAAAAAAAAATATATATATATACGATCTTTTAATTATAAATTAATATAAAGAATACGTACAATTTTAATTTCTTTGAATTTATTTTTATTCAGTGATATTTATCGCAAATTGCATGCTCTAAAGTTAAAAATAGAATGCAGTGTGTGTAGAACCTTAATTAGCGAACGCCGTCTAAGGTTGAATTACCGTCAGTCATTGAAAGTGCTTCGTACTCTTGGCCAAGGCTATGCACACGGTATTTCGCGGCTGTATATACCGGATTAAATGTGTGCATGTAATACTCCTGAAGCAAGTAAAAGCGATCGTACGAGTAAGTGCCGAGTTGAAGTTCAAGAACAGTGCAGCGTATCTAGGATCAGTTTCTCGATGGAGCTCGGGTCAATGTACGGATTAAAATTCGATTTCAGCATAAAATAACAGAGTAAAAACATGTCGCACCATAAATAAAAAAGATGTAGTGTAATATTTTTAATCAAATTGTGCTGACAATAAATATCTATTTAAAATTGATGAAATCTATTTAAAATTAAACTAACTGAAATTATTTGCAAATATGTAAATTTCGAGTGACTTAAAACAAATGTTTGTAATTAAAATATGTATTTTTTTCTCATGTATTTTAAATTTACATTTTCAAATTTCATCAAATAGTAGTGTAAGTATATCAAGAACATTTGTTGAGACTTATTCAAAGTTGAAGTAATTTTTTTTCTTTTTCTTTTCAATTATTAAGACTTTAAATGTTTAAATTTTAAACAGTTTTTAAAAATAATATGTGATTTAATTATACATGTATGCTTTTCTATAATTAGCTTGATGATTTGATGGACGTGAAATACAAATATTGCTGTTTCCAAATGTAAGAGCGTATCTCTAGCGTAACAACATATGTAGTCATTGTCTTTCCGCGCTAATTCGCGTATAGCTAGAATCCCGCTCATCTCCGCTTTCTCTTAGTTTCCGGAAATCGCAGCGGAAACGGGACAATAATTTATCACTGACCACATACCTAAGGTATATTAATCTGTAACAGTAATTGCATTACAAGAAAGACGAGATAAAGGACGCTACATTATTGTTCTTTTCTCCGTTTTTTTACTTTTAGTTTACTTTCTTAAATATTTAATATATACCAATTTATGTGTACATAATAGAGGAATTAAATATAATCACATTTATAATTAATTACTATAAAATTATTTAAGAAACTTTTTATTCATAAGCTATTCTTATTTTGAGACTGTCTCAATTAATGTCTTAAGATTCTAATAAAGTTCTCTCTAATTGATGCATAATATTTTAAAACAGTACTTGAAATGATCTTAAATATAAGAGTCAACTATAAATACCGGTCTGTGATTAATTCATATTTTAACGGTACTTAAGATGGTCTTAGAATCGACTGTGAATATCGGCATAAAACATATTAAAAAATTGAAAAAGTTGTTAAAACATATCATATAATAAATATTTGAATAACACTAATAAAAAATATTTACTAAATATGAAGATATATTTATTTGAAATGAGAATCATCAATTTGATTTAACTATTATTTTTGTATTGAGTAAATATTTATTTACTATAAGTAAATGTTTAGTTAGTGCTATTGAAAACAAATCTGTATTAAAATTTGGTATATTTTTTCTTAACGTATCTTATAAATTCTTTTTAACCATAAATGTGTCAAAAGTATAAATACCATAGATGAATTGAGTCATTTAATTTGTAAAGACTACAAGAAACGTGGGCTCGCCAAGAAGTGTCGAAATGCGTGCGCGCGACCTACGAATAATATGCCGATAGGATCGAAAAAAGACGGCCGCGGGATATGAGAACGTCGTTACAGAAGATTTGTTTCATTAGAAATTCTAAGATCGGATGTGAGCGTCATCGGACCGAGCCGCAGAAGGACTCTGCTGTGTGGACATCGTTCTCGTTATCGTCACCGCCGGCGCAAGAACGGCGACCGTTTCTCGCGACTGGTGCGATTTGTATCGGCGAAAAGACGACGGTATCGCGCAACTTGATACGTGATGTACAGGACGTCGTATTGTGCATACATATTTGTCGATTTTAACTGTTGGTTCCGTCGCCAGCGTTACATATTGCCGAGTTTCACCGAACGCGGCCAGAATGCCGCGCGTGCGATATGGTTCACCTTATTATGGACTCTGACATTAAAGAACGCAAGTGACGTCCTGTCAAAGATAAACTATCGAGGAAGCGCCGCGTGCTTTCATTCTTTTACATCATTCTTCTCACGAAGTGAATCGACGTGTCGCGCATTTGCTCTCCGCAAACGTATGGGATCAATGGCCATCGCATGCGCTCTAAATAGACCTGCTCCTTTCTCGTTTTAGATGAGTCACCTGTACGGACTATTCAGCAAACAAGTGGCACGGTTTTGCGTTGATTCCTCGAGGCCGGATTGCAATAAGAACCTGCTCGTAACCGGCATACGAAGCCTCGCCAGTATGGACGACAACGTTCTCGACAGGTTGGACCCCTATCAACGTGGCGCGAAAGAAATGAGTAAGGAAACGTTCTTGTAATATGTTGAGAAGAGGTTTCGTGTTTATTCGGCTATATATCGTAGAAGAGATTTCATGTTTATTCGATCGAGTAAATATATAAATGAATCGCGATGCCGGCCTTGACACTTTACGCGACCTCGTACTCAAGCTACTGTAATGTCCTGTTTTTAGTTTGGCACGCCATGGTGGGAAGCAACAGATTCGCATCAAGAATCAGCCACGAAGCCGATGACTCTTACTTCACGACCGTACCTGACTTAGGTAAGTGCACGAGAGAAATTATCGAAATAATTGCTCTTTTATTTTTCGATAATAATCAGTTTAAATATGAAACTATGCAGCATAAAACATTATTAGCTACTGTAGTCTTTAGAGATATCTGTGGAGATTAAAATGTTGTGTGGTATAGAAATGAAAAATAAAATGGCTATTCATAGAACAAAAAAGTCAATGAAGTTTGAGGAACAGAGTATAAGCTAGGATATTAAAATAAAAATCTTGCTGGACGATTTATTTATCATTTGGTTAAAAATAATAAAAAAAATTAGTTTATCTATATATATTTATTACTTCATCTAATGTCTATATTTCAATCTTATATGATTTTTTAATAATTAAAGAAAACATAAAATTTTAATAAAATTTTTAAAAAATCACCATTTAGTGCGCAGTAGGTATATTTTTTTCTTAACCGCATATCTTATAAAAATTGCAAAGCTTTAGTTGCATGTTTAGTTGTGTACATGCTACTAATAAGATAATACGATAAAAGGAAATGCACTCCACGTTAGCTTATTCGAAAAAACATTTCGCAAATTTGCCTCTTCCTTGTTTCGGGGATCTCTCCGCGATCGCGGTCTTGCAGACGGAAACATGTATCTCGAGAAAGTTTTAGTCGCGGTTTCGATCCCGCTCGTGTTCGCGCTTGTGCTGCTAGAAAGTCTTTTTTTCTCCCTTAACGATATTGCGCCCGATAAACAACAAATCTTTACTGATTGTCATTGATCACGTGCACTTTCTCCCTTTTTTTTGAAAAAAAAAAAGGAAAAAATCATACAGTCCATTGCATCGATCCGAACTGATTCTCCATTTTTGACATTATTGGAGTCGTATTACATTTGGTTACAAATCAAATCACGAGGGCTCATTCATCAAATTTAAACTTTTTTCGATAAAAATAATTAAAAAGCAGATAATTCTTAAATTTAAAGTTAAGAGTAACAGTAATAATGATTTTAAAAAATATAAATAAATAAAGAAGGATTCTTTTAAAAACCTGTACTATTCGTATGTTAAAATACTTGAATTGATGAAACGTTTATAGTTGGGGATTTATTAAATTTTAACACACAAATAAGTAGATGTAGGTTCTTAAAAACATCCTGCTTCTTTAATTTAAAAAATATAAAACAGTTTAACAATATATAATATGTTAAGAAATAGGACCGATAAGAATAAATCTGTTTAAAACAGTTCAAGTTGATTGCAACTTTTTAATCTAAATAATAGTTACCGAAATTACAGTTTTACATTGTTAACAGTAATATTATAATAATTTCGATATTAAATATCTCATAAACATAATCTAATTCACACGTATAAGGAAAATAAATTTTGGAGAAATATTTTTAGAAAATTTTTGTTAATTCATCATTCAACAATCTGTGTGACAATCTTCACACGTAACGAGCGTTTGATAGATAGTGGACAGATCGCGAAAGGAGGTCACTTTTCTCAATGTCTACGATGAGAGTCCCAGCGCGGGGGCGCACTACGATAGCTTTCACATTTTCTCTGTTGGCCCATATATACATGCGTACGCTAATGATGCATCGACACGCGATGAAAGCCGCAAGCGTTGCACGCCCGTGATTTCAGGCGTTTACCGATCAATTATCGTGTTAGAAATCTAGCGAAATAGAAAAGGGACTTCTGTACACTGTCCATCGATCCCGTTTAACGGGAGAGAACAGCAAGAAAACACGATGTTCTTACCGTTATACATCATCAGTTTTTCATGAAATCAGAGGCAATTATGTTGTACATTTCACGATAGAGAAATTTATAACTGTACAGCTCTTCTTTCGCTGGCCGAAGATACACACGCAAATATGTACACATAGCACTCATCCATCGCGAGGGCAAATTCCTACACGTCTACCTCGCGGAGTCCTTGTAGCCTACAAATTGACGGCATTCAACTAGCTGTCGGAAGCGAAGAGAGCACGAACTGACGTACAGATATTGGATTTTAAATTATCATAATGCGGAGGCCGTACAGACCTCCAGAAACAACCACGTGTGCGGGACGATAAAATAGGGGCCGTTGATCCAAAATGATCTTCGCCTGCGAAGAATTACAAATGTATCTATCTTGTTCTCCTTTCATGGATCGGAACACGCAGTACCGCTCTTTTTCTACCATACCATACCAAAATGAAAACGCCCACGACTAAAAACCGATAGCGAAGATAAGATCCAAGAAAGTCTGCTCTCGGAAATCGATAATTGTTATTATAGTTGTAATAGGAGACAACTTTCTAAAATATTATACGTATAATATAATCACATGCGATGTGCTAAAGTTTTAATACTATAATAATTTAATACATATACAAATTTTACTTCACAAAATATTAAAAACTCGACAATGAATTAAGAATCTGATTCTGTAGCAATTGTCAAAGATATTGCAATTGATCTCAAGTATACAAATCCGATTTTTACAGTTTAACGCACAGATATTATTAAATATCAAAGGAACAATAGCAAAACTCAATTCCTTGAACTAAATAACAATGTACGCTTCTCAAATTCATTTCTTGACATTGAGTAACAAAGATAGAACGACACTTGTGTCGACTTGGGAGACTTGGGACACTTGTGTCGACTAAATGGAAAGTGTATTTTCAACTTATACATATGTACTTATGTCAAAATGTAAATCAATTTGCTTCTGTGGTTTCAAAGTAAGCAACGTTCATATAACGTATACTCTTGGTAAATAATAAACTAAACTTAATTTAATACATTTCTTAAGTTAAATTGTTTACACCTTTTGTTTTAATTAAATTAATGACATATTAAGTACGAACAGTAGCGACTTATAGAAATTACTTAAAAACTCAAATTGACATTTGATATAATTTGACATTATAAATTTAATAGTGTAATTTAACAACTGCGTAATAAATCATCGTGACTAAGAAATTTGTTTGGTACGCTCGCACAGCTTTAACGAGTGAATCTTAATGAAGTACGGACAAGGATTTCGCTTCGAAGACACATGTACTTCCCGGTATCTATCGCGCTTGTATAATGAGCCTGTTACTTAATCTTCGGCGACTATAAACCGACATCAATTTTGAAGTCACGTCGGCGCATTTGTTTAATTCTATCTCTTTCTTTTTTTTTCTTGCAGCGAGCAGCGGTAGTGAGACGAACGGCCTCGGTGAGGAGACCGTGGCGAGCGGAGATTACATTCAGTCATCAGAGTCGAGCAGTCCATATCTGTCGGGACCAATGGTGATACGGGTCTACCCGGACGGTCGACCGGTTCCGGAGGACCAGAAGCGCCCATTGCCGAAGGACGAGGACGCAGACGAGCTTAAATATTCCCGTTTGCCATCCATTGAAGAGATCGAAGCTAAGAGCGGCAGCAAGTTCTACGGGAAACGCACGATCGAGCCGTCGATGCTAAAGAGAAGGATGTCCTTCATCGCCGATGATAAGAACTATCGGCGATCGCAAGCAACTCGTCTTCACCATCCGCTGCCCTATGAAAGAACAATGTTTAGGGATGCATTGAACGAACGCAGAATGCATTACTACTGAGAAGATGCCTCTCTTCTATGCAATACGAGATACTTCTCGCGGAGCGAATGCACCGCTTCGTGATAATGAGAGTTTTCGAAAAATAAATCGCCATCAAGATCCTGCGGAAAGACAGGTGACAATAGCCACGTCTACTATCACAGACATAAAAAATACTCGAGGAAAGTTAAAAATATAAGCGGTACCACTTGCGGTCGCGTTATGGACAACGTAATGATAATCAGCTATAATTACTAATTCATTGTGCATTCTAATTTAATAATTTGATATTGCCGTTGTGCGATATGTACGAAAAAGAGATCGTCGTACGCTGTTTTTCGGAATTTCTGCACTGTTGAATATTTTTGTTGGACTGAGCGCGAAATATGACTGAGGAACTTTGTATGAGATAAGAGTTCACGATTTAAACCGCGTAAATTGGAAGAATTCATGGTTCATCAATTATCTCGAATAGCATAAATTGGAAACTTGACGATTGGTCGGTAATTAGATTCCTAACATACAAGTGCCGACAGGAATACATGTATATATTCGTACGCAGTCTCAATAACACTCATATAATCCGACCATGAATATCATTTGAGTTCCATTTATTTAATTTCATTCATTTATTATATGTAGTATTTATTTAATACTCAATGTGATTGTCATGGCTCACATGGACAATGTCGGGAAAAAATATTGATAAAAGTATGTTAATTATCTCAGGTTGTGAATATGGAGCAACTAAAACCTTAAATCTTCTGTTAATGTATTTAAAACATCACAAGTGTATTATTTAAATTTGTTTTGCTATTCTTCTCTCTTTTAACACACAAAACAGCAATTTATCATATAATTTTCCTATATTTTATAAATTGAATACATTATGTATTATTTGTCTTTAACATATATGCGCTGTTACGTCGCAAAAAGGAACTAATGTACCTCGCTGAAAAATACTATATTTTGTATATATTATCTCAATATCGTCAATAATCGTTGAATATCACATAAATCATTCGTTTTAACGTATAATAACCAGTTTGCTAAAATTTATTGCTTTCGAAAATTTCTATAACCAACTGCACAAATATATATATTTGTATTTAGACTGTAATACTCAATGAATTACATCTGTTGAATTTTCACGCAAATCGTTTGCGTAAGCAAATAATAGCATATTTAAAATAAATCTACATTATGTATTTTTACGTGACGATTACTATTGATTATTATATCTATACGTACTCATTTTCGTTTTGTAAATATTTGAGACATTTGCCACTATTAACTATTAAGTACATGTCAATAAGATATAGAACTAAAGTGTGATAAAATCTAGACATGTAATATACATATATTCGAAAGGCGAGATTAATGAGACTATAATGTGATAAAGTAAAAATAACGCGATGCACATAATATATGTATAAATATTCACATATGCATATACACACCACACACGTGAAACACACTTATTGCAAGAAATTTAATATAATAGAAAAATTCTTTGTACTTAACTGTTCAAAGATGATAAAATGTTGCTACAATTATTTTTTGATATGCTGCTGCTATAAACTTAAACATTTTATTATTTTATAATTATCATTTTGGTGTACATTATTTTAAAACATTATAATAGTTTGTCTATTTAAATCAGCATTTTATCTAAAAATTGAAATGGTCAACCTTGCTTTTATTTTTTATATTTTCAGAACAATATTTTAAATTAATAAGTCAAATGGTTAAATATCTATTATCATAACTTTTCACAATTCCTTTTATTAATTTAGACTACAAATTCTACACATACATATATTATGGCAAATGTGTGTATGGTGTGCATGTCATATGAATGCATATGTGTGTATGAATGAATAAATTATTAAGACTATATATGTATACGAAAACACTGCGGATATAGATTTAACATAATATTATTTTAGATCTTGTGGTGATATATTTTATATAGTAATAAATATTACATGAAAAAAGATAGTTATCTCAAATATTCATTAGAATAAATGAAATGACTAGAAAGATGATTATAGAGAGAAGTTTCATTTCATTTTATTGTCTTTTTACTTTGAAAATTGTATAAAAACGTATATTATGAAACCAATATATTATAATATTAGTAGATATACATATTACGATTAATTTACACATTAAAACAGTTTTATAATTTATCTATTCGTTCAATGTTCTTGTATGAAACACAAAAAAGTAATAATATAATATAAAAGATGTATTAAATAAAGTACATTATAAAGATTATGTGTATACCGACTTTCTTGTAGTGCCTCGTTTAGAACACGCTAATAACTTTGAAAAATAAACAGATTTATACAACCAATTTGTAGTGGAGATTAGTTCAATGTACATAATGTACTAAAATCTACAAAGGCCTATGAAAATTCATATACATTTTCGACAAATATTTTTAAAAATAATCTTAATTTTTTATATAAAATTATTTATTGATTAAAAGTATACAATTAAAAGAAATTGATTTAAGAAAAAAGAGTACATAAAAATAACTAAAAGCACACAAGACTACAAAATTACTAATTTTACAAAATTACAAATATTACTAATTTTATATACTTACGTTTACGTAATTTTTTTTTATTTTATGACAAGCAAAATTGTATGTATTATAAAGAATTAAATATATTTCGATTAGCATGTAATCTTTCTACATGTTTGCACCGTACAGTGCAATATTATAATTTTATTGTCTATTCATATAAAGCAGGGATTCGTAACTGGCGGCCCGCGGGTCGGATCCGGTCCGTGATGTCCAAGCTTGAACTCGCAAAGAAACGAAAAATAAACTGAATTAGTGAATAATACTAAATTAAAGGGAGGACGATGCGAAATGTCGCGATGTCATTCTCTTACCGAAGCTCGTACAGATAGGTCAGAAATGCTCGCTGCATCATATTTTTTTTTAAAACATATTTACAACAAATGTTAAATAACGCGAAAGGTTGTACTTTAAATTCTAAAATCTTATTTAAATTATTATATAAGAAGTAAGTTTGGAAATTTTTTATAATAATAAATATTAAATAACTGTTTCATTTTTTTACTTAAAATACATATTTAAAATAAAGTTATTTTAAATATGACCGACTCCTAACTAATATGACTTATTTTGAATAATACGTATGTCCTTTATATTTTATCTAAATGATAACTCTTTTTTATTTTCTATATTAAAAATATATATTTTAAATAACTTTATTTTTAAAAAATATGACTTGGTTTTGTATATTATTACATTAATAACTTAACAATTTATATGACGTTAAAAGAATACGATCTAATATTTCGACGAAGAATAAAATTATATGGATTTTTTCTCAGAACTTAGCAGTTTAGTTTTCATGAGTTAAGAATGCACGTAACGAATCTAAGAAATAAAACAAAAACCGTGGAATAAAGCCTATTCATCGGAAAGAATTAAAAATGACAATTAAATATCATTTTATGTACTTCGTAATATGCGTTAATATTTCGACAGTTAGACGAGTGGAAAGTGGCCTTGGGGTTTGTTTTCAACGCGACGGGCAGCGCGGGCGGCGTGTCATGTTTACTCGCAGTGACCCTGTCTTCTCGCAGTCATTCAACTGCCGAGGCTCGTACAGGCAAGTATCTCCTCGTGCCGCTCTCCTTCATATTTCGATTTAAAACGTATTTTGCGATAAATATATTAGATAATACGAAACGTCGTATATATAGTACGAGTTATTTAATTCATCGATTGATCAATTGCATTATACGCAGATGTCATTTTGTACCTTAAAAGTTGCATTTGCGCATAATACGATTGAACAATCGACGTATTAAAAAACTCGCCCGTACTTTAGATTTACAAAAGTCTTACTTAAATATTACTTATAAATAAAACTTACTTAAATATTAAATAAGAAATACATCGGAAAAAGTTTTTTGGGATCATAAATGCTAAACACACTGATCTATTTTCTCATTTAAAATACATATTTTAAATAAAATAGGTTTAAATATATACGACCCCGATTTCTGACTAAAACTAAAAACTAAAAGAAATACGTGAATAAAGTGCTGGAAAATTATTTAAAATATTAATTAAGAAATAAGTCAGAAGTTATTTATTATAATTCTTTATTAAAAATAGTAACGTTTTTTTTCGTGTAATAAAAAGTTATTGCAAACTAATAATCACTTATTGTAACGTAATTGAAATATATATCTAAGGTATACATGAGCTGTGTGTAATAAATTGTATTTATCGGACAACATTAAAAATGTAACGAATAAATTATTTTTATTATTTTGTAATCGCGTACATTAATTAATATTTTAACGTATTAATATTAGACGGTTAGTGTAAGCAACCTTGGGGGTCGTTTTGATGTGGGAGGGCGGACGCGGGTCGCAGTTCGCCCGCTCACCCGACTCACCTGGCCAACCGATAAACCGAACAGTTATTCCATTCAGAGCTGCTAGATTTCGGCTTGTGCTACCACTTGGTAGCGTGTGGTATACTATATACCTATATCATATTTCAAATTTTATAAC